GGGGGGGGCATTAGGATGTTTTTCTGTTAAACAGTGCAAAATGAACATCGTCATATCAGTGTATGTACCAGTGTATGAGATAATACTACCACGTAACGAGAATGAAAAAGTGATAATGCCTATTTTCAAATAAAATTAAAAATCACATCAGTAAGGACGAAGTTTCTCATAGTGATAGAACTGGTTTCATCAGAACGGGGCGGAAGTAAGCCTAAGGTCAATTAACCATCGTGGTTACATGTTTTAAAGATGTCAGTATTAAAAACCAAGAAAAATAGTTCAAATGAAAAAGTTCGTAAAATAGACATATCTGGCCAAAATCTTATCAATAATACCACAAAAATAGTCTAAAATGACAGTCGTATCAGTGTTTAAGGGATGCCGAACAATCATATCTTATCGTGTCTTAAGGTTAAGTACACACACAGATCACACTCTCTTTATATATGACCTACTTGATACCGCACGTTGTATAGTAGATACTGAAAATAGCAACTGCAAGTTACAACGTAGTCAAGTCCAGCAACCAGGAAGTGATCTTTGACACTTTGGTGATAGCAGACGGAGACATATTGCTTGTAGCGGAATAAGATCCCTATATAAATGTACTGGTAGCCTTCAAGACCCTCAGGTAAGTTTCAAGATATATGTTTGTAGAATATTGTGTCATTACCGAACAAAAAAGATACTTGTTAATTATCTTTGAAATGCTTGGTTACTTAAAAATGACGCCAAATGCCACTCCATTTCCCCCATATAATAGTCCTGAAAGCTTGTGTCTGGCTTCTACTGCTTATGAGGACAGTAAAACGTCCTTGGCACCAGAAAATAAAGGTTTTTACAAAAACGTTATATCCAACTTCATAAAGACATACCTGCATACATTGTACTGTACATTGTACGAAGGAGGCATTACATCACCCTCTGTGTCCCTGTCATAGTACTTGTAGGTAATTTCATATATATATATATATATATATATATATATAACACGATATGTCTATACACTAAAAATCGTTTCCAATTTCAGTGCTAATTATAAAAATGCAGCGAACGGGAGGTAAGTTTGTGGCGTTGCTATTCCTCTCCGCTCTAGTATTCAATCTGGCCGGTAAAGCATCCACCTCTACAATTGTCAGTTCTTATCCAAGTGGGCAGACAACGGTTGAGTTCAACAATATAGCGATTGACAACGCAACTGGGACTGTATATGTTGGGGCTGTTAATACTTTGTACCGACTGAATGGTGACTTGCAACTGTTACAGAACGTAACGACTGGACCAGTCACGGATAGTCCTTACTGTAGTCCACCTCCTTCTTCCTGCTCAAAGGGAACGCCCACAGACAACTACNGTTATATACTCAAAATAAAATAAGATTTATGAAGTTTTGTGGAGGGGGAGTCAAATTTTCATGGGGGAGTCAGATTTTCATTATGTGCACATTTTTAATTTTCTCATTTTTTCATTAAAATTTTCACTGCAAACTACAAAAAATGTACCAATGTATCAACCATTTTACATAATACAAGATCACAGCCATATACTCAAAATAAAATAAGTTTTATGAAGTTTTGTGGAGGGGGAGTCAAATTTTCTTGGGGAAGTCAGATTTTCATTATGTGCTCATTTTTAATTTTCTTATTTGTTTATTAAAATTCTCACTGCAAACTACAAAAAAAATGTGCCAATGTATCAACCATTTTACATACTACAAGATCACAGTCATATACTAAACTAATTAGAGATTAATGAATGTTTTTTTGTAGGGGAGTCAAATTTTCATAGGGGAACCACATTTTCATTATGTGCACATTTTTAATTTGTCTTTTTTTTAATGAAAATTTTCACCTGCAAACTACAAAAAAGTGCCAATGTATCATCCATTATGCATACTACAAAATCATAGTCATTTACTCAAATGAAATGAGATTAATGAATGTTTTTTTTTTGGGGGAGTCAAAATTTCATGGGGTGAGTCAGATTTTCATAATGAAAATCTGACTGGGGAGTCACATTTTAGGGGAGTCAGATTTTCATGGTACACCGGTACATGTAAATGCGCAGGTGCTCGACAAAAGCATCGTCAGAGTGTCACATAGTTACCACTACCGGTGCTATAAGGTAATGAGAACGCAGTCTAAGAATAGAAAATTGTGTGTTAGCATTTGAACAATTTGCTTTGCATAGCTGATGGTTAAACAGGCTGTTTTTGTAGTTCGCGAAACAATTTAGGATGCAACGTGTTTATATTCAAATTTGTTGTCTAGGTGTTAGGACTACTTGGTGAGTTTTTTTTTTCAGATCTAAATTTATATTTTAAGTATGTTTGGTGAAATGTTGTAAAGAAATAAAAGTACAATATTCTCATTTTATTAGGCATACGTGGCTTGTATCTTGCATGAGCCGACGTAGACCGATATATAGCTATAACGTTGAATGTGTGACTGATATACTACCGGTACCTCGTGCATAACTGCCACAAAAACCCCTCTTCCCTGTATCCATTTTTCTTATCAAAGCATGATGCTTTGTTACATTAGGTGGAATTAAACACCGTCTTTAAATGCAAGAACCCTTCGCTTCATGTGTTTCTTTTTCAGATGCAGCAGGAAAAGTCAATGCTCGGATGCAGATGGCTCACGAAGATGGCTTCCCTTTGATAATGGACAGTGTATTAAGATCAATACCATTTCACCATCAAACACACCTCTAGCCAGACCTACACAGGTACAAAGAATTGATATACACGTGGCATCATTCCATAACCAACTTTTGTTTCATTTCAATGTTACCAATAATTTTCTTGCCAACTTTTGATGGACTCCGTCCATTGCTCGTATAAAGTCCATAAGAGAACAGCTTGTATTAATGGACTTCACTGCATTGTCATATATCTTTGTGCATACGCAGTGAGGTAAATAATGCAAACTCACTGCGGTGCTGTAACCGTTATACACCGTTATACAATGAAATGCATAACGCTAACGATGAATGAATTACCAGTAGTCTATAAGGTGTCCCTCGATATTGTCTCAAACCATTTCCATTTTTGCGAGTGTAAATTCTGTTTATAGATTTTGCTAAAAGAAGCATTAATTAAGAATATTGAAGGCCACAAGAGAGGTGTCAATTTGAATGTTTCTATTGGCCAGCTAACTAACCACATGCATAGGAAAAAATCCAGTCTGAATGTTCAAATCATGGTGTATTGGCAAGGAATATGACGTTAATGGACCCAAAAGTAATTACTCTGGGACCTTTGGAATCCATAACACCCGCAAAAATGGAATAGCATGAATGCTCCTTTCTAAACGTATTTTCAGTCAGACTTTATGGGCTATGGTATGAGTATCAAATTAGTGTTTAAGAAACGAGCGATTGACTGCGATCGACAGTTCGATACAGGTATCTGTACGTTATAACAGATAATCATCTTAGAATCACTATTTCATTCGTGTTTGTAGGTGAACCTCTCAGTAAGCCTGCTACCCCCAGGCCAGACCTACCAGTGTGTATTTGATACCACAGCTGTCAGTACCACAGTTACTGGGGGGAACTTGGTGACATGTGACACACCTACCAGCTTACCTTCTATACCAACTGGGGACGGTAAGGGGTGTTGTCTTTCTTGTACAGGATGACCATCTAAAAAAAAGGTCTACCTCACTCTTATCCATAAATACATACTCCGACTTTTGGCAATACTCACCGATATATACCTGTGCATAACATTAAGTGTATATCCAACAACACGCTCATTTCCTTACACCTTTTACATTTTAATTTTCATTCAGCTTTTGAACGTTTATTTTAGAAAAGGATATTTAATGTCCCTTGTGGCTTTCTTAGGATAATTTTAATGTTATTGTACCGCCCTACAGGTTTAAAAATAATAATTATAATTGCAATTAAAAACAATAGCTCTAATAGAAATTCAATTATTTAGATACAAGGATTTGCCCATTACCACAACAATGGCTCATGTTTGTTCTTTAAGAATATATATATATATATATATATATATATATATATATATATATATATATATATATATATATATATATATATATATTTAATCGCATGCTAAAGGAATTATAACTATCGCTTCAGATCACGTTACAATACCATTATCTATCAAATCAGTAACGACAGGAGTCAAGTTTCTAACGACCAACTTCACATATTTTGACTGCGGCGCACACTCAGGGTATTGTATTCTTATACATTATCTCTCTATAGCCTCGGTCGCAACCGGCCGCACGGGCTCTTACGGGCTGTTTGCGTCCAAATTTTACGCAGAATCTCACGTCCCACGCACGTCCTTCTTACGAAATTTCGAGTTCGCAGACAGCCCGTATGCACGTACGGAGGATGTTGGACATGTCCAAAAGATTCTACGAATAGCCTGCGAACAGCGAGGCCGCAAGCGTGACTTGCTTCCCTCGCACGTAGTAAGAAAGTGAGACGTGCGTTGTGCAAAACACCCGTCGCAAGCAGTGAAGGAGCAAGTGCCCTTTGCGTGTCGAGTAAGACGCACGCCCTCACAACTAACGAACAAAGTCGAGAACACACCAGGAATACGTCGCACGTGCGTCACCCTCACGCCTGGTGTCTGTACAATTAACGTCGACTGTGTAACGTGTACAACAATTTTCAGAATTTTCAAATTTTTGTCCAATCTAGTTTCTAATATTCCTCCAAAAGGAAAGAGAAAGAAGCTTAGATAGCAGAAAAAATGGAGGAGGAAGAAGAAAGAAGGGGAGAACAGGAAGCAAAACTGACGTACGCCGTCAGTACGTCATCACAAACTTGTGAGGCAAGTGTGAAGCAAAACTGACGTAAAAGGGCACTATTTTCGCTGTGCGTTACATTCCCTTCGTAAGTGGTGAGTGTATGCCACGTACGCAGGAAGCAAGACATAGTATAAGTAACCATCTAAGCAAAGAATCACTGTTTCATTCGTGTTTGTAGGTGAACCTCTCAGTAAGCCTGCTACCCCCCGACCAGACCTACCAGTGTGTATTTGATACCACAGCTGTCAGTACCACAGTCATTGGGGGGGAACTTGGTGACATGTAACACACCCACCAGCTTTCACGGCCATCGCTCCTTGCAATTAGCGTCATTGCTTGAAAGGACAACTCATGTAGCCCTTGCGACTCGCAAGGCAGACTTTCCTCTACCTCTACGAACCCCAGAACAGAAACATATTTTATTAACTAGGAATCGCACCGTCTTGTTTCCGTCATTCCAGAGTCATGTCAATGTGGGTATTAAAGGTCCCACCCTGTGTCCCCAGCTCCTGCCACGTGCTCAGGACGTCCTGTTACCTGCTGGGGTCACCAAGGTGATCTCACTGAGTGGGAAGAACCTACCTGTGCCACAGGTAAAGATTCACGTAAATGTTGTTATAAAACCCGTTGTTGTTAGCAGTTTGTACTTGTAGTTATACGCTCTTCCTACTTATGTTTTAATTCAAATTGGCGATATACATACTGTACCTAAGAATTATGGGAAGGTAAACTGTGATTTTTCATTCTTACCATAAAGCAAGAGTTCAGTTCCAAGTCAGTGTCTATGACAAGGCTGACATAAATGAGACCTTCGAACTCAAAATTTGATTAGGAAAATATGAATGAAGCCTCACATTTTGCTGTACTCTGCAATCATTTTGGTTATTCTCAACCTAACCTCAATGTTATTCCAGGCTGGCCAAGGTGATTATCAGTGTAAGATAGGCACTAACACAGTCCCAGCTATCAGACAGAATGATAGTGCCATAGACTGCCAGAGCCACGCTGTGAGTAGATATGATGCAAGGCATATACTCGTACTGTATATATGATATATAATCTTTTAAATGTCACGCTATTTTACAGTAGCTGATAGAATAACAGATCGAATATTTGTGCCCTCAAAATACTGATTTTGTAAGGCAAGTGACCGTATCCAAACCCCAACTTATGCTTTCTATGTAGAAATTTTGCAACTTCAGGAATGCCTTATATATTTAGATCTATATTGATACAATTATAATTGGCTACTTGTTCTTCTCATATCTCAGTATGTGTATACAGCCATCACAGGCCAGGAGAGGCATGAAATCCAAGTAATCTGGAATAATAACCATGTGATAGACCAACCCATCGGCTCTCAAGTGAGCGGTAAGTGTATTGCTATTTTTACATGCGCTGTATATGTATACGTTCCCGTCTTTTTCCCTGTGAGGCGCATATTTTTACGCACGAGTTACAAAAGGAATGATCTCATTTTTATAATGGGATAAAATGCCTTCTTCATAAGCGCACAAAATATAGTAATTGTTTCATTCAACCGATCGTCTAATAAAA